GGGGTACGGTACCGGTGGGGACAGGGTCTGTCTCTGTATAACACTGGGGTACAGTACCGGTGGGGACGGGTCTGTCTCTGTATAGCACTGGGGTACAGTACCGGTGGGGACAGGTTGAAAAATGTGTCACTGAACCCATTTTGACATTTTCTCGCAGTTTCAAGATTTTGGAAATGGACGATCCACAAGTTAACGTCTTCCCCTTTGAGGTGACCTTCCACAATGTTGCCCAATTCTACATCCCAGGGTCAGCGTTAGAGTGCCACTACTGCATGGGGTCATCGGTCATCTGGTCAGCTCATGATTGGATCGGACTATTCAAGGTCAGGTCATGTCGTTTCAGCGGAGGTGACGGAGACAGGGAGGGGGTGTAGGGGGATGGAGGGGGTGACGGAGATCGGGAGGGGATTTAAGAGTCTGGAGGAGGTGACAGAGAATGAACGGCGGTGTGGGGTTCTGGAGGAGGTGACAGAGATGGGGGGAGGTAGCAGTAGGGGCATGTGGTGGATTCATAAGCCACATTTCATGAAGTTTGTTTACACCCGTTGCCCTTTCCAATGCTTCAGGTTGGCAGGAGGTCACTGCGTGACTATTACACCTTTGTCTGGTCTCCTTCTCCTGACAGTCACTCAGACGGTTCACCTCGCAATGGCTGTGTTCGATTTGAAGGTCAGTCCTGCGTCACAGGTGTGTGTGTGTGTGTGTGTGTGTGTGTGTGTGGTGTGTGTGAGAGAGAGAGAGAGTGTGTGTGTGTGTGTGTTTGTGTTTGTGTGTGGTGTGTGTGAGAGAGAGAGAGTGTGTGTAGTGTGTGTGTATGTGGTGTGTGTGAGAGAGAGAGAGTGTGTGTAGTGTGTGTGTGTGTGTGAGTGAGAGAGAGAGAGAGTGTGTGTAGTGTGTGTGAGAGAGAGTGTGTGTAGTGTGTGTGTGTCTGTGTCTGAGAGAGAGAGAGAATGTGTGTATGTGAGAGAGAGAGTGTGTCGTGTGCGTGAGAGTGTGCGCATGTGTGAGAGAGACACTGTGTGAGTTTGTGTG